GGTGAAATTGACAGATTGGAACAGATTGGATACGGGGGACTGAGTGAGAAGCTGAGGAGAACACCTGGGTTGTGAGCCAGGGCACTGGGAGAACAGTAGTGCTCACCGCAGCAACAGAGAAGTTTGGAAAGGGAGATGATTTGTGGGGAAAGAATGAGTTATGTTGTAGACATGTAGAGTTCATGATGTGTGTGAAATCCAGTTTGAGGTGTCTCGGGCATTTGGAGGCGTGATACTATGATGCAGGAGAGAGGTTAGGGCTGGATAAGTGGATTTGAGGATCATCTGCATAAAGATGATAATTGAATTCTTGGGAGCTGATGAGAACACCAAGCAAAGTAGTACTGAGGGAGAACAGAAAGGGCCTAGGACAGAGCCCTATGGCATACCTATATTAGTGGGCACGACCTAGGTGAAGATCCAGCAAAGAAGGGTGACAAAGAGGAGTCAGGTAGGAGAGCCAGAGAGAGTAGTGTCCTGAGAACCTAGAGAAGAGAATAAAGAGGTTGAACGGCAGTGTCAGGCTGAAGACGGTCAGAAAGAATTAGGATCAGGAAAGGGCCGTTGGATCTGGCAATTAAGATACTCGTGGAGAGAGTATCTTGGAGAGAGTGCTTTTGGTGAATACTGAGGACAGAAACCAGATTGTAAGGGATTGAGAAGAGGAGAGAAGAAAAAGTGCAGGTACCTATTTCAGGTGGCTTTTTTTTTTTTTTGAGGAATGTAACCACAAAAGGCAGAAGAGACAAGGGATGATAGTGGGAATGGAAGGATCAAGTGAAGGTTTTTTTTAAAGATGGGGAGATGCGGACATGTTTGGAAACTGTAGGGAAGCAGCCAGTAGACAGTTCCGCTCTTCTGCTCCTTTTACTTATTTCTTGATGCCTTTTTCTTCTCATAGAGGCCATGCCTTGCAGGTCTATGCTTTGGATTTTTCTTTTTTTGCATAGTGAAGAGGCTCATAAATCATGCCAAACCCTGTTATTTTGCTACTACCAAAATGGGTTCTGAATCCAAAGACAAACATGACATCTAGAGTTATCTTATACATCTTGGCCAGTTTTCCCAGATTTCTGTCCTGGGCACTGTGGCCTTTCCAGGATGGAAGACATCTATAACCATCTGTTTATGTTGAAGAAGTCTGTTATGTTCTTCCTGGTTCTGATGGTTCCACTGTCATTCATGGGGGTGGCTGGGTTCAAAGCAGAGGACAAACCTTTGCTTTGTCCTTTCTGTCCAGTTGTAAGGCTGTAGAGCAGTTAGCCACACTCCACTCGGGCAGTGACCATGGCTGTGAAACCTGCACACCTGTCTGTGGCCACATCGTCCCCTTGGGGCCAAGAGCTGTATTACATTTTCTTGGCTGTGCCAGAGAACTGCAGAATACTTGGTCCACTTGCCAGGCATCTCAAAGGTGGCACGTTGTAGGTGAGGAACACTGCCTGCAATGGCGAAGGCACCAGGAGGACTAAAGAGCATCCATCAGCAACTCTGCTGCTCTGAACTCCGAGGAACATGACCCTCTGTTCAGGGACTCGATTGCTTGAAATGTCATCGTCATGTTGTTGAACTCAACTTTGGATACTCAGTACCCTTCTGGGAGAGAGGAGCATTGAACTCTTCCCAACACTTGTTACAGGGGCTGGATCTAGATTCCAACTAACTTTCCATTTTCTGTCTGTAGCTCTGATGGGTTTGGGTAGCACAGTGGTGCCCCCATGCCAGGTTTTCTCTGTTGGCACCCCCTTTTCCAACCATGTCACATTGCCCCATTAGATTGTAAGCTCCTTTAGGACAGGGTCTGTTATATCCTCAGCCCTCAGCACAGTGCCTGGCCCGTAACAGGTGCTTAATCAATGTTTATTGAATTGCATGTTGGAGAGGTAAGCAATATCAGAGAAGGCCTAAAATTGTAAGATGGGGAGTTCATGTTTTCTCCTAGAAGTAAAATGGAAACAAAGATTTGTCAGTAGGGGAACGGTAGAGTCAGACTTGCACCTATGAAAGATTACTTCATCAGCTTTGTGCACGATGAATTGGAGACGGATGAAATAGAAACAGCAGTTGGGGGCTATTAAAATAGTCCAGGCAAAGGCCTGAATTTGACCCTTGTGAGTTAAGAGATGGAGAGGGCAGAGCCAAGATGGCAGAATAAAGTGAATGTTTTCACTGAGCTCTCCCCACATTTCTCTTTAAGCTATTTTAAGAAGTGCATCACATCAGATGCTAAGAAGGATGACCAGCAAACGTTGACAGTGAGTCATTTTTCCAGCTCAGTGCAGCTTACAGGCAATAAGCATCTGGTTGGGAGCATCAAAGCAGTACCAGTGGTGGGCTGTGGAGGCAGTGGTGGTAGCGGCAGTAGCAGTACCAGGAGCACTCAGCACCTCAGAGTTTGAATACCTAGTCAGAAAGAGATCACAGGGGAACTCTATGCTAACCCTGGCACAGGACAGACACCATTTGGCAACTCCAGTACCTATCACCCAGTTCTGGGTTGCACTTTCAGGGTAGAGAGGCATTCCTGTGCTCACAAGGGAGCAAGGGCCCTACCTGGGTATGGTCACAGTTCCAGGGTAGAGAGAAGTTGAGGCTGAGGAAGCAGGGGCCCCATCTGTGAAATAACCAGAGCACAGACCAGTAGGGCAGTAGCTAGAACTTTCCCCGGATCACACCACCTTGGAAGCACTGAATATTTGCAAGACTTAGACCTAGCTGTGAAAACAAAAGGACATAAAAGCCTGAAGCTTAGACCAGTCACCCAAGGTAAAAGGAGTCCAACTCTAACATAAAGTCCAAAGTCAAGAAATAGGCTGGGAAAATGAGCAAACAACAACAAAGAACCTGAATGTAAAAAGCCATTATGGTGACAGAGAAGCTCAAGACACCTCGAGAAGATAATGACTTGAAAACATCTACAAGCGAAGCCTCAAAGAAAAATGCAGATTGGATATAAGCTGAACAAGAATTTTTTTCAGCATTCTTTTTTTCCTAAGATTTTGAGTTTTAATTTTTCTCCCTCCCCCC